ACTCAAAATACATTTAGCAGCAAAAAATTAGTGACTTTCGAAGAAATCGATCCTAGTTTGACATCATGTTTGAAAAAGCCCAAAAACCATGAGAAAGATGATACTAATAAGAGTACAGTAACGCAAACAAATGATGAATCTGTTGCTTCAAACAATAAAATTAAGAATCGAAAAAACGTAGTAATAAAACATTCTAAAGGTAAGAAATAACATTCTTAAGTACGTATCATTGATATATTTAATACAAAAGATTAATTTTTAAATCTTTAGATCAAAACAAATCACGACAAAATAAACATGATGAGGTTAATTTTTTTTTTTTACTAATTTATTCTGTTATTTCAAGATTGTCTAAAACTTACTTCTTCCTTCAACGTACACAGGTTATTCCTATACGAACTGAACACAAATTGTACAATTTTCATATTCCACCACAACCGAAAGATTATCCGACAGCTTTAAGATTTAGCACCCAAGAAATTACAGTGATTTTTATTTTAATGTTATTGGCTTATTATTCCGGGAAATTAAGCCTTTATTGGGAATAATTAATTTTAAATATAGTTACTTATCAACAGATATATTTAAACATAATTATATTCATATGTATATTTTTAATATAAGTTAATAGTTTATGGTATATTTTGCATCATATTTAAACTGTTTCGCATAAAGATAGGAATGCGCGCGTTTCGGTGAACAGATTTCGTATTTGGTCAACTTGTAATACCACATAAACAGAGTTGGTTAGATGTATAGGAGTCTAATGGGTTCTATTAAACGTCGCGTAATGGCAACATTGCTGCTTCCAATATATATCGTTTAGCATTGAGTATTATTAGGTATTATTCTCCCAGAGTGTTGTACATTGTTGATGTCCAAGGATTTTTTTTGCCACATCCAACAACACTCAAGACCGAGAATGCCTAAATATTTATACAGTTTTATAAATTTAAAAAATTATTAAGGACCAATAATTATATTTAAAACATTTCTCACTTAATGAATTACCGTAAATTCTGGACATGAGGTTATTCAAAAATCGTGTCTCTCGCACTTCATAATAATTTTTTATAATAAAATACTTGCACATGACAACCGTGAAGAATCTTCCCGGTTATCACATGCAGACAATTATTATTATGTAGTCAGTCAACATTATCACTTTAAACTTTTGCTTATTACGACGATTAGAATAGCGTACTCGAAATAACGAGCAGATATATTTTTTTAGTGCAACTCGTCAAAATTTTGTCAAAACGCGTCCGTTGAAGACACTGATTCACCATACCTATCAGCCTAATTCATGGATAATTAACGTTGGATCCCTAATAAGATCAGTTCAACATAACCCGTTCTCATAATTTCTGGGACAAATTACATCTGTTTTATAATTCTGGGACATGTTGAAAACTGATGAACGAATCGGTAATTTGTTGTCGGTCGACACCGGTAACTTATTTAATCAGATTTAGCAACTTATCGATTTGGTCATTGGAAAATTTTTCAGCTATCTCAGCATTTATGAAAACAGCTGTAAAAATTTGCTCGTTACCCGAAATCTTTTTTGTAAATCATCTAACTCTCCGAAAATCATATTGCTATTTCCAGACCAAGGGTTCGAAGATAGCGATATAGTTTTCGGAAAGTTAAATAATTTATAGAAAAGATTTTGGGTAGCGAGCAAATTTTTAATTTATCCTAGAATGTAAGATGATTTCAACTTCGCAACTTATCGATTCGAAAACCATTAGCGTCACCAATAATCGAGAGCGCAGTCACATTTTTCAAATAAAATAATTATTTATAATATTTTGATACTCATTTTTATCCATAAGTGATAAGATCAAAATTATTAAATTTGAGTAACTATGCCAAAAAAATTATACAGATGAGTAAATCTTTGAATATTCATCAAAATTTTACATATTATCACAAAATATTATTATACTAATCAACTTTGAAGTTTAAATAAAGTTATTTTACTGACCAAAATACTTCTAGTTTCATAAAACTATTTTAAAAACCTAATTTCGAATAGAAGTTAAGCAAATATAATAAGCTATGTAAAATAATAGTAATAATAATAATATATAAACGTTGTTAAGGAATAACTAAGAAGATAATACATAAATAATATAATTAATAAAATATAATAAAAGATAAAAAAATTAATAATAGAATAAAAATAAAGGGTTACAATATAAATACAATACAGCAATAAAAGAATAATCAAATGAATGATGTATTTCATTGTAAAACGTAGTAATTATTATTTATATTTATAATATCTACTTAATAACAATCGCACTCTTTGTATTTCTGATTGAATTTATAATAATATTGCGTTTTACTTGAGTGAATAAACATGCTTAGAGTGTAAAATCTGAAAGAGACTTCGCATCGTTAACTATCGTTTTTCATAAAATCTGAAAGATACTTCGCATCGTTAACTATCGTTTTACATAACTCTTGATGTTGTTGCATTACAAATTGTAGTTGTTGTAGTTGTTGTTGTTGCATTATAAAACGTTCCTCTTGGGACATCTTAGCATTTTGATTATAATTTTGAGGAATGTTTTGCTGCTGTAACATATTAGTATAGTAA